AACCACGATATTAGTATCGATCCCTGGCATGTCTTTGTATGACCAAGCGAATACCTCAACATAGTCATGCAACATCTGAACCAATCTGCTCTTGACATTGTCTTCCAAGTCGGCGCCAATCTTGACTTCTTTCTTATCTACCTCAGTACCCAAGTTTATTACTTTGACCGGTTCTTTATGTGGTTGGATAGCCTTTTCCTCTTGTATCAGGAGTCTGGCGAGTTCTCCAAGTATCTCACAATCTTCTTCAACTTTGTCTTCGGCTTGAAAGATTGGATTCTCAAAGTCATAGATGGCAATAGCAGAATTGTTGTCAGTGAGACCCGGAGTGGATATGGATCTGCAAATGTGTGTGTGCATGTAAGGTCACATAGCTATTTGAAAATGCAGTAAAAGAAAGACAAAGAGCACAAAATTTGAATGCAAAATCGTCCAATGTTTTCATTAAATGAGCATATGATATATGAAATGACAAACCCTTAACAAATGGACCATTATGCCCCGGGCAAGGCATATGGTTTAAAGTCATTTTTTTGAAGGAAATTATACAGACAAAGTTCTTAAAGCAATAAAAACAGGAAATAGCAATTACTCCTAGTTGAAGGAGATTGATATGAAGTCTTTGGCCTTCTAGTTGTTAGGTCCGCCGTTAGTAGTTAGGAATATCCATTCGTCCAAGTCGTCGTCACTATCAGTGTCTTCCGGAGCATTTACTTTATTGTTGCTAATACAAAGAGGTAGTCAACCAGCACGAGCACGTCGAACCTATTTCTGAGCCTTTGAAGTAAAACCCAATTCAAATTTGTCAGATTTGTAGGGGATGTCAGGAAGTTTTCCCCGGATAGTACAACCTCCATCTTCTACAACAGCTCTAGCATCCTTTAGAGAGGCCATTTTTGGTGTGCCTTTAGAGATTTCAGGAGTAGCAACAGCAACCATTGGAGGGATTACCTAAAATGCTTGACAGGGGGTTTCAATGAATTCGCCATCCATTTCAACGTATTTGAAAGAATTCAAATGATTGACCATATATTCTTCCTCTCCACAGACTGATAACTTTCCCTTTCACTGGGTATTTCAGCATTTGATTTAATGTAGAGGTAACCGCACCTGCCCCATGAATCCATGGGTGTCCGAGTAAACATGAATAGGCAGGATGAATATCCATTACATAGAAAGTTGAATTGAAGACTTGAGATCCTACCTTGATCGGGAGATCAACCTCTCCATGGACCATCCTCTTTGACCCATTGAAGGCTCTTACCACAATATCGCTTGGTTTTAGCACCAACCCATCATAATCCAGTCTGTCCAAAGCACCTTTAGGTAAAACATTGAGGGAGGATCCAGTATCTAACAACACATGCGCCAGAGTGGGGCATTTTCATTCAATAGAGATGTGGAGAGCATTGTTGTGATTCTTCCCCGCTGGAGTTAAATCTGCATCAGAAAATCCCAAGCCATTATCAGCAGTTAGGTTCGCAAAACAATTCTCAAATTGATCAGCAGTGGTATCTTGAGGTACATGGGCATTTTTCAAGAATTTCAGTAGAGCTTGGGCATGTGCTTCAGAGCATAACAATAAGGACAACATGGATATATTGGAGGGTGTTTGACCCAATTGCTTAACTATTTTGTAATCACTTTTTTGGATGATCTTCAGGATTTATTTCATCTCTTGTCTAGATGGGTCTTCAATTATCACTTCTTTTGAGGGTGCCTCCATCAGGGCAGGCTCAGTAACTTTCTCTTTACCTCAGATATTAGTAGTTGCTATAGCAGCAGGAATGTGAACAGGTGTTGTTGTAGTTATTGGAGGAGAGATCTCCGAAGAGAAGACCCTTCTTGTCCTAGTGACCTTACTAGTTCCAGCAATGTTTGTAATTTCAGGATCTTCATTTTCAATAATCCATGGCTCTTGCTTGTCACCATGATAATAAACTTTTGCCCCATAGTTCCAAGGCACAACTTTGTCAAAGGTATAGGGAACTGGCCCCGGTGTAGTAATGATTAAGGGAGCTACTATTGGCTCAGCAGAAATCCTTATAGGGCCTTTAGAGGTGATCCTAATAGGAGTATTTGAAATGGTGATTATGGAAACATCTTCAAGTGTACTTTCAGGCAAACTTTTTACGGATGGAGTTTTCTCAAACATAATTTCATGTCTATCAATCAGGCGTTGAATACCTTTCTTCAGCCACATACAACCATTAGTTTGGGTAGCACAATGGTAACAATTTTCAAGGCATCCAGGAAATAAACTGGCTCTCAGCAGATTCTTCTTAAAGGTCAATAATGGAGTAGCCAAATCATCGATGGAGGAGACAAATGAGAAATCGTCAATGGCATTGACACCTTTACCATGACTGGGCATGGGAGCGTAATGACATTAGGGGTTTGTGGAGGATCAAACTCAATCACCTTGTTGTCAATCAAATCTTGGATCTTGCTCTTTAAGGCCCAACAATCATTGGTATCGTGCCCAGAGCTATTAGAATGATAGGCACATTTTGCATTTGGGTTGTATTTTGGAGATGAAGTATTGGGGTTTATAGGAGGATTCCTCAGTGTCACCAAATCTTCCTTCAATAGATGTTGTAAAGCTTGAGATAGTGGCATGTTGATTCTAGTAAATTGCCTCCTCGGGGCGTCAAGCCTTTGTTGATTGTTTGATTGTTGTGGTCGTTGAACTAGGGTTAGGATTGAAATCAATATAGCTCATACTGACTGATGACGATCATTCTTGATATGGCTCCTTTGTCCAAAAACAGCATTAATTTCCTTCTTACCAACAAATGGTTTCTTTACAACAGTAGAGGTTGAGGCCATGGGGATCTTTTCGCTTTTGGTTCCACTTTCAACTCGTTCACTAGTCATGATTAACTCAGTAAACCATGACGTAGAACTCCCAATCAGCAAATTAAAGAATGGACCAGTCAAGTTACCCATAAACATGTCCACTAATTCTCTGTCAGTCAACGGGGGTTGCACCCTTCCAACCAGGTCCCTCCGTTTTTGAGTATACTCCTTAAAGCCTTCATTTGAATCCATTGTCATATTTTGTAATTGCATGCGAGTTGGTGCAAGATCAGCATTGTATTGGTATTGCTTGTAGAAGGCAGCAGCTAGATCCTCCCAAGTGTGGATATTAGTCCCCTCAAGTTGATAGAACCATTCCAAATGTGTCCCAAATAAGCTTTCTTGGAAGAAGTGCACCATAACTTCCTATCAGCGGTGTGCGGTTGAATCTTACGGATATATGACCTTAGATGCATCTTTGGACAAGAGACCCCCATCATATTTAGCAAAGACATGAACTTTGAATTTGTGGGGAATGACCACCCCAGGGATCAAGCATAAATCTCCAAAGTCTAGATTGGGAACTATTTGGATCTCTACAGCCTTAAGTCGGTCTTCAAGTTGTTTGTACTTATCATCCGTCGGTGAGTACTGTTCTTCGGAATAGTCTTCATCCTCAGTAACTTGGTTGTTTCCACCCCTCAGATCTAGTGCTTCTATCTTCCTCTTCTTGATTGTCTTCTTCCTCAGAACAAACCTCTTCTATTTGGGCAAGTCGGGCAGGTCCCTTAAACCTTCTCCCCATGTTGAGAATAACAGCCCGTTTCTTGGTCTTCTTCTTGGTGACAAGTGTTGCACCCCAAAATTTCCCCTCCTAATTTCTTTCATTCTGGCTTAGACTTTGCATTCATCTGCATCATTCCAATAGGTCATGTGCATAACATGCATTTTCATATAAAAAATAGAGCACCTGAGGTTCAAAAAAAACCAATAGTTATGAAGCTAGGGTTTACAACTGATTTGAGGTGTATATGATGAATAAGATTGATTATTCTGTTTCTTCTTGGTGTACAAGACTGTGGAATTAGGGTTTTGGTTCATGTTCAGTTTGGACTTCTTCTCCATCAAGCAACAAGGCTATTCTCTTTGTCTAAATGTCAAGATGCAAGGTTTTTCTTGTCAAGGACTCAAGGGTGTGACCTATCATACGTGGTCTTTAAATCAAGACGTCTCCTTATATAAGTGTGGTTATCATTTGATTAAGGTTAATGACTATGGCATGGAATTCATCCATTCCTCACTTAACCAATTCAAGTTTGGTTGAATCATGGTTCAAAGATATTTCTCTGTGCATTTGAACTGAGGAATCAAGGTCGTGAGGTGTGGTTATCAGGATTTCTTTCTCTTTAGCATATAATTGTGTTTTATCCAGTCTCGTCAAGTGCTGGGGTTTTCATTGGTGCGACTAGGGTTTCATGTCAAGGGAATCCTTCCGTGTTTCAAACCTTATCGTACATTTGTATGATGTTCCTCATGACATTAATTTTAGGTTGAGATAACTGGTCATTAAGGATTGAAGATTGAATTGTGAAGAATGATTCATGGCACAAGATATGAATTTGTGGGTTTATTTTTTATCAAGACGATTTTTGTTCTCATCATTGTTATATGTTGTTTGCAAAGAGTGGATTTGCATCGAAGTAGGCTTCTCATTGAAGAATTCATGCAAAGTGATTCAAGGTTCATCATGATTCAAGGTTCAAGACATTCAAAACAAGGTTTCTTCCAACATGGCATACCTAGTTGCTGGCTTACAAGTTCTTATAATATCTTGAGATGCTTAATCATGGTCTAAGTTCAAGATACGTGGATAAGATCTTTTGACTTCAGTCGAAGTAAACTTTGAAAAATTAACTTTTGGACCAAGGTCGCCCTTGAGCTTTCATCTAATGCATGCTATGGATTCGAGTTGCACTTGAAGAATGGCATGGAGAAAGAAAAGAAATATTGGTTCAGAAAAGGAAAATTTCGTTAAACACCAAGGTTTATACGAGCTGCTTGTTAATGTGCATGATCACAAGAAACCATTCATATATTCAACATCACTTGATTCTATTACATTACCATTACAATAATCATGAAGCCATTACACCACAAATCATTACATCAATACCTAGTGTAAACTTAATTCTAAAATTCATTCATGCTCCAATTTCTTTGATGCCATGAATCCAATCTTCAAAACCCACCCATTCTTCATTACCAAATTTGTAAACTTTCTTAGAACCTGTCCAAAATACTTCAGCCCTACATATTTTCCACCTGCATCATGTTTAAATATCAAACCAAAAATATACATCCAAATCTACAAAAAATTGATTAACATCCAAACTGTACGAACATACACAATAAAGCGTATTGCTTCCCTGTTTCAACAAAAAGTTACCCTGTGCATAAAGCGGCATATACCAGTTCAATGCCAACTTAAGCAGGCTTCAAAACCAGTTCACTGTTTTATCTATAATCAGTTGCATATCCATTGAAAGGGTTCCTTGCATTGCATACAGTCCAAACCAATTTCAAACTGGTTCACAGTGATTGCCCTCCATTGCTAAACTCGCGGCTGCATCGTAACATCACTCATTATGCTGCTCTAACCAGAGTTGTTGCATGCCTGCTCTTGACCATGTACTAACCTGCACAAGAACATTGTGAAAGAAAATAAATAGTAAAGAATATCAGAAATTCAGTCAGGAAATATCAGAAGGAAAAGAGACTATGTTGCATTCATCAATAGATCAGCCCTGTTTAAATACTTTGCATCAATTTTTATTAGAAATAGGCATCCGAGAAAACCATGAGGAAATTAGGAGAGTTTTATCATGAAAAAAAAAACAAATACTAGAAATTCCAGCTCATGTTTATAACAGAAATTTTCAGATTCAAATCTTACCATCCATTCCCTAACAGAAAATCAGGACATAACAATTGAGATTTGTTCTCAAATAACAAACTCTCTAACAGAAAAAGAGGGAGGATATAACATAATTTCTGTTTTCAGATTGGGATTTACGATTCCTTCAGACAGTTATTCAATGAACCAGAATCAAAAAGAAAATCTCACCAGAAAAATCTCTCTAAGATCTAGGGAAAATCACGAGACTCTCTCTCTCTCTCTCTTTCATTCTCTATCTTCATCTTCATCCACTGAAAAACTAGAAAAAGGCTTCTCTGTACTTTCTCTAAATTCAGCGCAACAACATCATCATCCACGTTTAATCATATTCTAACTTCCTCTAACAACCTTCAACCTTTCTCATTATCATTGCATCTTCATCGAGATTCTTCATCGCATAACACTGCGACTGCACCAATTTTTCACTTTCATCATCAATTCAAATATGCAGTTCCACACCATCTTCAACAATTCCGCTTATCACCGGTTCACACGTCGAAACTGCACGACACCATAACCTACATTTTCTTCACATCATCAATGCATCGTCACCTTCCTCGATTCAGGACCAACGAATTCGTTCGAGCAATAATCGAAACGAAATCAGAATCACGAAAGAAGAAGACGAAAAAGAAAGAGGAATCTGAAGCAGTTAGGGAAGCAATAGTATTACCTCTGGTTTTCTTGTTCTCCGTCACCTTGAAGAATCATTAGAATATCTCCGATTAGTGAGTCCTCTTTACTTATCCTTCTACAAATTTCGTTTTGGAATCTTGAATCCGCGATATAGAGCATGATGTGAGAATGAATTCAGAGCGTATAATGTCCGAAGAAGCTGGCGGTGCTTCAAATTGAGACAACGTCAAGAGGAGGTTGAGTCGCCTTTGTGAATGGAGATGAACGACCATACCGTGTTAAGAGGAGACAGTTTGAGATCGAAATAAAGATGCGAAGTGGTGGTGGCGCTGACGTTCATCGTCGGGGAAGAGGGAGTTGATCGGTCGCTATTGAGGAGAGAGTGAAGAGGATTGTGCGAGAGAAATGAAGAGCCACAATTTGTTACCCTAATCCCTCTTTTCATTTTCTTATTTATTTTATTTTATTTTTTGATTTTCTTTGAATAATAATAATACAATCTGAAATAAAAAATGATGAAATAGATTTTAGTGTGGAGAATGGGTTGGACCGAATTACAGCCCTCATTGGCCCTCTCCTTGTTCATTTTTGTGACTAAATAAGCTTGCAACAAAAAAATCTCTTGGGCTTGGCATTTGTGCATATTTCCATAGGCCCGACCCTAGTTTTTGGTTATTAGACTGGATTACAAAAAAAATAGTTATTGGACACTCTAAGTTGGGCTTAGTGCCATTGTTGTTGAACCATACATCCTAGGTCTGCTTACACCCCATATACTCTTCCAATCTCTTTTTGATTTAGTTTTTTTTAGTTAGTTCAATGTTCTCTTAAACTTTCTTAATAGAAGAATTGGTGAGTTTTTATGATTAAAAAAATTACAATATCAACGAGACTTGTTAGTTTTTTTAGTAAATAGGAACTAATTCTATAGTTTTTTTATAGTTTTTTAATAATAAAAAACGATAAAAATAGTATAGTATAATTGAATATCTCTAGAATTTCTTTTCTTTAAATTCCAATTAGTTTTTTATCGTTATTGTTTACATTTAGTAATCATTTTGTTCCTCAAGACTCGTGATTCACCTTTGCTTGTTGAGATATGAGTCTTATGTAGGTTTATTGTGCGATATATGGATGCGCTTGAGATTTCAATTGTGATTTATTTTCACATCGATGGTACTTTGACGCTTATTCTGGGCATTTGATTTCTGACTCTTTTCTTTGCTTGGTGAAGCTCACTCGAAGTTTTACGGGTTTCTCTACTTTGCTTGTTGTGCTACGAACTTTTGTTCGTTTGGTATTTTCTCTTGTTTATCTCATTTCAGTACTTTATTATTTTCTAGAGATCTTATATAGTAGGGGTATTTATCGCTTTCTAGAAATCATGTGAAATAGGAAGCAGGAAATAAAGAGCATGCGCTTGAAGTCGATGTTTAAAATCCTGTAGCAGTCACTGCTTTCGGTATGCTGATTGTGGTTGTTTAAAATCCTACCTTTGAAGTAGGTATTCTGCACGTGCTTTTACATTTGTGCCCGCATTATATTACATATGATAAGTCCTCAAAAGGAGGCAAGCGGGGAGGGTCCATAATCGACCCCCGCACATTCTTATCTGTGTCATCCTTAGCTCATGTTGTACGTAGATACTTTAGAGTTGTGTCGATCTTGTACATCGAGTCCATCAAGTGGGGAAGGGTTTTGCAATCAAACCCCCACACTTTTTCAGGTGTTTGCATTGGCCGATGCTGACACTCCATGATTGTTCATATTGTCTTTTGTCGCCTACCTCGATCTTTTATATCTTGGTTAGGTGTTTAGTCGCTTTGGACATCACATTTTTATTTTACATCTGTCTCCCGCTTGTTTGCTTCGGGTGATACGCTCCCCTTAGCTAAAACATTTCTCTTGTTTCCCCCATCCCTTTGAGTCAGTATGTGCTACTCATGTTTTTGTGCTTTTGCCAAAGCACTTGTTTGCTTATTTGTTTGCTATACCATGCTTCCCTTAGGATCGCTCTACTAGAGTAGTCTCCGAGCTAGACCTTAGGATAAGTATCCATGCATGCTAATGTATGGTAGATATTTCCCTTTTATCCACCACTTTAGGATCAACCATTGTATGATAACATTAGGGATAGATTTAGGTTAGTCTCCCTTAGATGTTTTTCTTTTCTTTTGCATCCTTGCATTAAGACTAAAACTATTTTTCTTGAAAAAAACATAAAACATCTAACAACTTCTAAATCCTTCTTTAAGGTAAAAGTTATCAACCAATGCAAACTCTTGCGCGCCTTCAGGCTTTTCTTTCAAACTTTTTCAAAAGAACGTTTTAATTCACTTCTGTGCTGACGCGTAAATCTCCAAAGGTCGAGTTGCGGCAGAAGGCGAAATTAATGTTGTTCATTAAAAATACAAACCAACAAAAATTTTGAAGCCGAACTACGGCTGCTCTGATTCCTTAAAAGGGATACGTAGGCATTGGGGTAGGCCCAAATGAGCACAACTTTTATTTTCCCTACATTATTTTCTCTTTTCTCTTGCATGCATTCCCTGTACAACTCTAGATTCTTACACACCCTTTGATTAGAATAACAAGAAGGGATATCATAGAGAACTACGGGCGTGTGGGGTGATAATACCTTTCCCTCGTGTAACAGACTCCCTTACCGTATTTCTTGGTTGTTCGACCTTGATTTCACCCTTCTCAGGTTTACTCGATGTTTACCTTTCCCTTCCCGTGGGATAAAAAACATTTGATGGCAACTTCATTGATTTCATTATCAGTTTATTGTTCAGCCGGTTGTTTCAACAATGAGTGCCATCATTTCTTGATGTCCCTTAGCTAAGTTGAGGAGGGTCTCTTGGAACTATGCGTGTTGAGTTTGCAAATCTTTGATGGTTTTCTCTAGAGCCATCTTATACTGAAATAAATAGTAAAAAGATGAGAAAACCTTTATCGAAAAACCTGCTTATGATATGATGCATGTTATGCAGATGCAATGCTTTCAAGGACCTTAAGGAATTTAAATTTGCTAGCCAAAAAGGAAATAAACACAACAATTGTATTAATGAGTTCAAAGATTACAATTGCCCCTTGGGCTTACAATGAAAAAGCAAAAAGGTCTCAAAGAGACAACAAAATAGACTCCTAAAACAAAAGACTCAAGTATCCCACGAGCGCTTCCTCTTCGGTGCAATGTAGGCAATCAGGCTTTGCTCCTCGTGAAGTTGTCTTGTGAGCTCCAACACTTTCTTCTTGCTTGCATATAATCGAGCTTCAAAGGTGTCTCGTTCCCCCTTGAGATGAATCCACGATCTTTGCAATTCTTCGAGATTGGTAGGCATGTCAGGATGGAGAATAGTATAAGGAATATCTCCCTTAGCAACAGGCTCCATAACTATTGGTAGGATGGTAGCATATGGCATCATGAGGTTTTGAGCGCGAGCTCGCACCCATTTGAGATAAGGCTCCAAAGGGATGGAGTTCGTATGTCCCAAAGTCTTGCTATCAACCCTGTTCACCATGCCTCAAGTTCGTACAAACCTTTGATGATAACCTTGGACATTGTTCTCGACTCCCAAAGTCTTGCTATCAACCTTGTTCACCATGCCTCAAGTTCGTACAAACCTTTGATGATAACCTTGGACATTGTTCTCGTAGTCGAATATAATATCATGGATAAGTGCATCATGAGATCCATCCCTTCGAGCATAGCCAAACTGTCGTAGAGCTAGAGAAGGGTTATAAGTAATTCCTCCCCTAATGGATATCTGCATGAGAAAGCAACATTATCCTTTGCGACCACCTGAAACCTTGCTCATTCTTTAATAATGATCGGAGAAGGTGCGAAATAAACCACCTAGACAACAACATAATGCAACATATAAGATCCCCTCTCTTTCTCATGGTGCAAGTGTGAAGACAATATAGAATGTCTCCAAGCAAAGTAGGCATGGGATTATGAGTAAGGAAAATTTTGACAGCATTCACGTCTATGAGTTGGTCAGGGTTAGGAAAATGCACCAACCCATATATTAGAAGAGCCAAGATCTCCTCAAAAGCTTGTAAATCCATAGCATCCCAAAATAGTTGAGCCCTCTCCATCAGGAATTTAGCCAAAAAGCCTTTGACCCCGCTTCTTGTCTCCCAATTGGTTATGATGTCATAACTCTTCAAATGTAAGGCCTTGGAAATAACTTCAGGTCTTGGAGTTTCCTCTAAACTAGTGAATGGTATTTGATCAAGGATTGGTACCCCCAATATTTGAGAGAATTCTTCCATTGTAGGCACTAGATGATAGTCGGGAAAGGTGAAACAATGATGTATTGGGTCAAAGAACTGAAAGAGCGTCCTCATCATGTCTTCTTCAAAGCTTGAGGTAACCAGATTGAGAAGTCGACCGTATCTTTTGGTAAACGGAGAATTCTCAAGAACCCTTGATGCTAACTCTTGGAGTTGAGGAGGCACCTTATGAAGTTGATTCAGATGGTATTTCTGCGAGTAAAAGCCATATCCTACAAAACAGCACAAAGGTAAATCCCTAGGTCCTTGAAATGGTTAGTGAAAATGCTATGACAAGATGTCATGATGTTTATGAACAAATAATCACACACAAACAAAGCACACAAAACCATAGGTTTAGGCTTGCATGGGGTTTATAGGTAAGTACCCTCTTGAAGTTTAGTTGGTTCAACCTGCCCTAATGAAAGTAACCGGGTTCTAAGGAATCTCAATATCATTGATCTTTCTTCATTGGGCAAGAGTTGCCACCGATTTTTCTTTTATCCAATAAAAGAAAGGGTGAAAAGAACATGAAAGATCTTTTGAGATATTTTCTTGAGTTCGGGGGGTAGGTTATGAAAAGGGAAGGTGTTAGTACCCTTTTCATCTGTAGTTATCTACGGGCTCTTAATTGCTAGCTCACTTTGAAATGCTTTGTGTTTTGTGTAAGTTTGAAAAATGCCTAAGTTTGGTAAACTTTGCAATGATTCTCGTATCATTGAGAATGTGTACAAAGTGTTGGTTTTGAAAATATTTGTTGAAAAGATGTTTGTAAATGCCTTGATAAGGAAATTTTGTAATGATTCCCGTATCATTGATAATGTATACAAAATGTTTGTTTAAAAAGTGTTTTGAAAAGTGTGAGGTGTGAAAGGTTTTGTTGTGAGCAAGAAATTACGAGTAATCTACCTACTCAAAAATTCTTTGTTCTTTTCCTCCTCCTTTAGACAGTGTTTTTCTACCATTGTTTGGTAGGGAGCCATATGATTGGATGTTTGGGACAGGTGTGGGTCACCGTACAATCATATAAGGCAACTTATAAGATGTTTTAGCAATTTA